AATTCATACTTGCTCGTGGTAGTAGATTCTGAGAAGAACTGCCGGCCGAGCGGTTTCTGAATACAATTTAGCGAAGCATTTGGCTTCTTAAAGTGAATTATTAGCGACCGTAGTAGTGCATTCATCAGCAAAAGATTTCAAGAATATTGTCACGAAAGGGGTATTCAGCATGTGTTAACAGCAATAACTACCCCAAGAGTAAACAGACAGGTAGAACGTTACAATAGGACGATTCTTAACGCGCTCGCTGGTAGGCTAACCGAAGAAAGAAAATGGTACCAGGAGTTAGCGCGAGTTGTTTGGGGCGTGAATAATACAATTAATAAAGGAATCGGAAAAAGCCCTTCAGAATTATTACTAGGGTATCGACCCAGCGGTGCAGCTGAGGCGAAAATCCTCAACGCTATAGGAGAGTCTTTTAACGATGAAAATAGACAGAAAGCTAGAGAGCAAGCCGAAGAAGTAATTTGGCGGAATGAGAAAGATCAGGAAACTTGGTATAACAAGAGGCGAGCTCCCCCAAGGCAATTCAGGCATAAAGACATCGTGGCGGCTAAATGTTTACAGGGCTATAATGAGGGTTCAAGTAAAAAGTTTTTGCCAAAGTACGCTGGGCCATATAAAATCACGAAGGTACTGGACCGCAATAGATATGTCATCGAAGATATCAAAGGGGCTCAACACACATAGAAGCCTTATAGCGGTGTGGTTCCGGGCGAGAACCTGAAGCCCTGGACCACGGGAGTCAGCGATTCTGACTTCGATGACACTGAGGGCAAGGATAACACTAGAAGCTCATATGGTCGGTCAGACGAGAAAGGTGAACCGTTGAGTGTGAATCGTGCCGGAGTACCGTGATGTAATACTGGCCGTTCGGCGGTGTCTTGGGCGGAATGGTTTTGGGGAAAATTATGCGACAGGGCTGTGACGTCATAGACCCGACGATGGGGAATATCTCTGCGGGTCCGCATGAGTTGTGCAAAATCACTTCCGGATTATAACAGTATTACTGGTACAAGGAATGCAGTGACCACTACTAGAGGCCGATTGGATAACTCACGGACGAGTAGGGCTACTATGGTGGTCATGGCATGAGTCGCTTAGGGAGCATGGAGCGAATGGTTGGGATTGTAGCCTATAAGTACATGAGTAAAGAAAAGAAAGCACGCCTAATTGAAAAGAAAGAGAGAATGACAACTGCATATAGCGTTAAGTAATATTGCTAACGGCAGATGATGCTATGGGATACGAGTGGGTGAGGTGCAAAACTTTCAATGTTGTCCTTTGGTTATAGAATACCGCAGGTTAACTCGGAGTATGGCAGCACGGGATGCGGTCACCATAAGTACTACACGTACTACACTACGTACTACGTACTACAAGTACTACCAGGATGGACGACTGAAAGGAACAACTAAAAGGAAACAACGCACCAGATGTTTACCCGAGAATGGCATACACCCCCTCCCCCCCACTCCACACTCACTCGACTGTGTCTTCAAGGGGATGACAATGACTTGCGTTTGTGATACGATCATTATAGACTCGGCATTGCTCTTATCAAGAATTGTATTCGACTACTCCAATATAAAGTTTCTTACACAAGAAATATCAATTACTGCCTTTCAAGTTCGGCACGTAACAAAAATAATGATATATTGTGGCATTTGCGCATCAGAAATGCCACAATGACGTGGCATCATACGCCTGGCTTGCGCGCCCCACGTTACATTAAGGGATACAACTCGCGGGTCCGCGTCGAAGGGTCGCGCGATCGGGGTGGGAGGGGGTTCAGCTGCGGTGGTGGCGGGGCGGATCGGACGGCGAGGCATGAGGGCTAATACCCTACGCCGATGATGCCGCCGACCGCCCGCTTCCCGTTAACTGTCCGCTGGACACCTGATCGTCCCGATGAGCGACCTGGACGGCAACGTACCGCGGGAGGGGGGTATTTTTTTTTTGGTCCACCCGCTAGACGAGGGACGGTGAGGGGCCAGGAATTCCCGTGAGGCGGGAATTCCTTCGGCTAAATTCATCAAACCGGCAACAATAGGGATCGGCAATCTTCGGATTTCTCGAATTCAGTCTCTTTCCGGTAATCGACCGTGTCACACGCGGCGACGTTAGTTCGGACGATTGCGGGCAGTACCTTTTTGGATTACGGATTTTTGTGTGTGGACGACTCGGCTTGTTTTTGTGGATCTCTGGTGGACGACGTAGCTTGTGTTTTGGGACTTGATTTGGTTTTAGTGGGAATAAGGGCCCGGGTGACTGTGCGGGGAGTGGGGAGGTGCACGAACGGCGGACATGCGAACAGGATCGCCAGCCGGAGTCAAGGACCTCCCGCCCAGAACTGGCCTGTTTGGTTTTCTTTTTTTTGGCTCCCTTGGATTTTTGGAATAAGCCGCTACACCGGTAAGTACCGCCGAGAACGGCCCTTCGTATTCCACGTATTCCCCTCGAAGAAGGGCCAGGATAGTCGCCTTCACGTAGCCCGGGCGTAGATCGGTGGTCCAGGCGTTCGGGACGCTGGCCGGAGCAGATCTCCGCTAGGAAAGAGGTTCGCCCACCGAGCTTGGTAGGATCGCGACCGCGTGGTAGGAATACGCACCTCGTGATAAGGCACGCTAGGGGCGGTGGGGAACGGTTAATCCTGCGGCCCTTACGAAGGGCCGCGCTCGCCGTTAAAAGTTATTGTACACGTCGATTTGTACTGGCTCCGCTTTCCTTTACATTTGAATAAACGGATATTAAAACTTCGACCGGCGTTTTCATTGGCGTACCCCGAACTGTTCAAATCTCGTCGTCCCTACGTTCCCCTCTATCATTTCAGCTAGCTGAGGCTGAGCAGCCGGGAGATCGCGTGGAAGCGGCCATAGGAGGAACGTCGGTGCGGAGAGTTCGCATCTGGCGCCCAACAATCCGATCTAGTTCGGATCTCGGATAGTTTTCCGGGTTTCAGCACGTTGGGAGTAGGCGTGAATTATTTGTCGGCTACGCCGTTGGCCGGCGTACGTCACAATATAAAACAACTATATTGAAACTTATTAAAATACACTAATATTACTGTAGTTTCTATTCATTGAATAACACCCCAAAATTTGCATGCATGTTTATTTTCCAGTACACTTTTCTCTACACATACGCAAATATTTCAGATATTATTACTCCTCGTTAGAATAACAAGGTGCGTTTGAACATTCTAAACAAGCAGTAAATACAGCATGACAAATGGGAAGGTGTGAAAACTAATTGATTACTATTGTTGAACAGGTACAGGAATCAAAAAAATGAAATGATGTTTACATAGTAGAAACTTTGAGGTTTTATTAAGGAACAGAATAGCATATTTTAAAAGTTTTATGTATTTTAGAAACGAACACTATAAAAATACCGAAAATTCGTAAGGGGCAAAACACATAATGGTATAAGTTTTCGAAATGTTCACCATCTGAATTGGCGCAGTAATCGAGCCTCTTTTTAACAATAAAATACACACTCCCTTACAGTATCAGAAATATCGTGAACCGCTTTCTATATAGTCGTTTTGAGTTGCTCTAGGTCTTTGGGTTGATCGGCGTTACCATTAAGTGTTTTGCCCCTTACGAATTTTCGGTATTTTTAAGATGTTCGCTTCTAAAATATACAGGGTGTTCCGAAATTACCTGACCAACGGGGTATGGCGATGTTCGGGAGACACCACTGATCACGAAAATGACCTCCCTTTTCTCCTGAAGGTCATAGTTTTTAAATGGTAGCAGGTCAAAGTTGACGAATCAGAGGAAGGCGTCAAGAGAAATGTAGGCACATACGAACTTTTGAGTATTCTTCCCTCGCTTTTGTTTCTCGGTGGCTTCGGGCAGGATGACGTCAACCGAAGACATGCCTATTGGATGTCACTCGCTAAGAACAGAAGTTCTCAGTTGAACAGTCAAGCACTACTTAACTGAAAACTGCAATGTTCTATGATAATTCCATTTGACTTACACAGATATCTCTGTGAAGTCTTACGTAGATTATCCTGATCTCGCTTTTCTTCCATTGATTTCCAGCGATTCATGCTACATCTGATGGAGGATTATACATGCTTCACCTTGAGATTGACAAAAATTGATTCGATCACAGCAGCATAAATTTTAATTTTCCTTCCGGCTGCGAGGAGTTATTCAACTTCCACGTGTAATTCAACGGGAGGTAGATTTCGGATTTACCTACTACGAGAGATCAGTATTATATCTTACAGGGAATATAAACTCTTAAAGCCATTCTACAATGCAATATAATAACACGTAACACGGAAGAAATAAGCAATAAGATCGTCAATTGTATATTTACCTAATTCCATTGGATCCCCCAATGAAGAAGGAGAAAATCGTTTTTAAAATCGAGCGTTTACTACGTTTCTACGATTTTGGTCACGTCTTGGACATAGCAACGATACGGAAGCGGTTGCTAGGGTCTTTAAGGACTTAACGGAGCACGAAACGTCATTGTCAAATGTCATTACCAGTCACCTGTCATGATCTGTCAATATATAAATATTTAAAAAACGTGTATGCGTTTATTCATACAGATAAGTAAATCATTACTTCATTTTTAAAGTCACGATGACTTTTATCGTAGATAAATTTAATTTCTGTAATGATATTGATAATGACCTTGTCTATAGAGTTGGTTAATGACAGGTGACAGGAAATAACATTTCACGCATGGAAATATTGGCGAAATATTACGTATTTCACGGAGCACGGAACGTAATGAGTAGCATCGAGCATGCCCCGTTCCGTAATCTCTGTAACGGCTTACGTGAAAAATACATAGCAACGATACTCCGCTTCCGTATCGTTGCTATGTCCAAGACGCCACCATAATCGTAGAGACGTAAACGTAAACGCTCGGTTGTAAAAACGATTTTCTCCTTCTTGATTGGAGGATCCAATGGAATTAGGTAATTATACAATTGAAGATCTTATTGCTTATTTCTTACGTGTTACGTGTTATTATATTGCATTGTAGAATGGCCTTTAAGGAATATGCTTTATAAATTATGAAAAGTTGTCAATTGCATTCGAATTTTATTGCGATATGTCAATGGGATGTAGCACGAATCGCTGACGATCAATGGAAGAAAAGCGAGATCAGGATAATCTACGTAAGACGTGACAGAGATATCTGTGTAACTCAAATGGCATTATTATAGAACATTGCAGTTTTCAGTAAGTGCTTGACTGTTCAATTAAGAACTTCTGTTCTCAGCGGGTGACATCCAATAGGCATGTTTTCAGCTAACGTCATCCTGCTCAAAGCCACTGAGGAACAAAAGCGAGGAAAGAAAACTCAGAGTTCGTAGGTGCCTACGTTTCTCTTGATACCTCGTTTTGATTGGTCAACTTTGACCTGCTCCTATTTAAAAATATGAGCTTCCGGAGAAAAGGAAGGTCATTTTCGTGATCAGTGGTGCCTCCCGAACACCGCCTTACCCCGTTGGTTAGGTAATTTCGAAACACCCTGTATAAAACTTTTAAAACATACAATTGTGTTCCTTAATAAAACCTCAATGTTTCTACTATTAAACCATCATTTCGTTTTTTTTTTATTTCTGTACCTCTTCAAAAATAGTAATCTAAATAAAATAATAAAAATAGTAATTTCCTATTTGTTATCCTGTACAACACAGAGTGCATTTTTACCTTTCAACGAAACAGGTTTTCAATAACCTTTCACTGCTTATAATTTTTTTTATAAAATGACAAGGAGTTAGCGCTACACAAATTTTATATATTGATAAGAATACTATTTATTACCGATTAAAAGGTGAATGATCCTTCCAATATCAAAACGAATTTACAGGTAAGTATTTAACGTATGATCTATATGCAATATTATCTTATGACCTATTGACTAATGAGATAAAGATTATTTTATATTAGCTGAATCTCGAAACAGTTTCTAATTGTTTAGATACAGCATAAATATAAGTTCATACCAATAAATTAATGTCAGGTCTCTTCATTATGTATTTCTTGACATTTGGATTTCTATGAAGAAGCATGTACAGTAACAGCGTAACTTGATCCGTGCTGGGTATTTTACATATTGTAGCGTAGAGTTTATGTAAGTTGAATTGAAAGGTGGTTATTGCTTTCGTAGGAGTCATCGGATCGCCATCTGTCAAATTATAAATATCGAATTATACTGATATGGAAATTTATAGACGATGATGTCCAAAACCTATGTACGGTACTATGTCGTTATAAGTCACTGTTAGGCTGGTTAGGGGAATAGGAATCTAAAAAATTTGTCGCTCGAGCATTTTCTCACTATTGCGCGGCGAGGTCGAGATTCACGTATGTATATGTTAAGTAGTGTCCATGAGCATCGCCATTCCTCGTTATAAGCGAATCACAGTTGCCGCATGTGAGAAACGAACTGTTAGAAATATTAGCTCGGTATTAAGGTAAGTATGGAAAAAGGTCGTTAAATAACAATAACTAAGGCAAACAGTCTAAGGTGAAACTAATTCATAATCTCATAAATATATTGTTCTTCTTTTTAAATATGTAAAAGGGACCAATACGTTCTCGTACACCTTCTTAGTTATGCTACAGCCGATAAATTGGAAGATGAAATTATAAACCTTGCTTTCTTTCTCGCTGTTACTAATGTGGAAAACATAGTATTCATGACATTTGTCGGAATATAAAAATAACTTACAATTAGTCCTGCAACAGTTTCAAATCTTGTCATTCTAATCTTTTTAACTGAAACGATAGCTTTTCAATATTACATATCTTTTTATACACAGAAAAATCTTATGTCCAAGTACGTATGATTTTACGCAATTACTTGTTTGTTTATAACGAAAGGTCCGCACCAAACTTCGATCCGCTTGATGCATAGAGTTTAAACGGGGGAAATGATAAAGCTTAGAAAGAGTTTGTATATAATGAGGTAGTACTGTTTACATGTTCATTGATTAATTTTCTTATACCATAAATTTCACTCCAATTCCATCTAAAATGTTAAATTCTTACAATATTCATAATGTGGAAGGACACAAAATTCTAGGTGAATAATATACCCTGTCCAAATATTTGTATATAACTAGAATTTCTATAAATACGGTATTTATATTTTATAAATCATGACTGAGACTTCCGTTTCCGGTGACTGGTGTGGAGAGTGAGTGTGTGATCAGGCATAGGAAAAGGGTGCGGGAAGTGTGTGTGGAGGTGTTAGGAGGGTAGAAGGCGGTGGTGAGTATAGAGGAGGATGAGTTGTGTAGGGTGAGAGAATAGGCTGGTAAAGGGAGTGAAGGAATAAGTGAGGGTGGTGACAGTAGGGACGGGGAATTTTTTGGAGGTTAGGTGATAGTGAGAGTGACAGGCGCGGGAGAAGTAGGTATAGTAGGGAAAGGATTAAGGTAAGGTAGTAAAAGACCGGTAAGGTAGGGAGGGGGATAACAGCGAAAGGTAAGACCGGTGGAGGACGGTAGGGTATTAAGTGGAAATGGCGGACGAGAATGGTGGGAAAGAGGAGTACGAGGAAAAAAGAAGAGGAAGACTGACAAGTGTGGCGAGGCTGATGAGGGGGCGAGCAGGGAGTGAGGGGAATATTGAGGAGTTGCTGATGGGACAGAGGAAAGCCTTAGAGTTTGAAGAGACGGAAGAAAGGGGGATGGTAGAGCAGGAGAAGGATGTGTTTAAGAGGAGTAAGTTGGTGGGAAGATCGCCGGAGAAGGGGGGGGACAGGGGGACAGAAGAATTGTTGAGGTTGCTGGCGAAGAAATTAGAGGGGGTGCTGACGAAAAAAGTGGGGAAAGTGGAGAAAAGGATAGAGGAAATGGCGAGGGAAGTGAGGAGGGAAAGGGAAGAGATGGTAAACAGGTGGGAGGAGGAAAAGGAGGCGATGATTGATAGGATAGTAGAGTTGGAAAAGAGGGTGGAGAAAATGGAAGGGTGGAATAAGGAAAATAGGGGTGACGGGGGAGGACAGAATACATGGGGGGGAGAAGAAAAGGTAGAGGAGGTGGAAAGGAGGTTAAGAGGAATGGAACTAAGGATGGAGAGAGATGAGAGAGAGAAAAGAAAGAAGAACGTGGTAGTGAAGGAAGTGAAAAGGGGGGAGGGGGCGAACTGGGAGAGGAAAATAGACAGGATTTGGAAGAAGATGGGGGGGGGG